TGCTTCCTTTCTTCCAAGGAAGGATTGTGTAGACCAACGTCGCTAACTAACGTATGCTATGTGGACTGATCATACCAATTCGACAGGGTGCAGACTTCCCGTGCTCCCACAACACTTGTTCCCGTATAACGAGGAAAGACCACGTGTATGCGAGTGGGACGTACGAGAAGTCGTCACAAAGATTGGAGGACGTTATTATTTCCCTCTTGAGACGAGGTGTTCGGGGTTTGTGGGTGTTGGCTTGGTGGTCGTCGATACTTATTTTCTGCCTTATTCCTTATTATTGCCCTTCAACGAGTTGATTGTCATCCTGTGGACAGCGGTGACACCCTATTGTCCCAATACTCTCTGTGGCAATTGTCGCCGCACCGAGCGTTATCCGGAAAGGGGTTTCAACTACCGAACACATGGTGAGGAAGAATTTAAGGAAAGGGCGACTAGGTTGCCGCCTTCCACGTCAGATGCTGAACTCTGCAGTGAGCGGCGTCGGGACTTAATTCAAAAATGAGATCCCACGTGCATACCCCCGCCTTTCTGTTGGAAAAGACGTAGAGTAACCCGAATGGAAGTTCAAAGATATTTTTTGGATTAGGTAAACGTTTCAAAATTGCACACGGCCATTTCATTTCCCACGCGGCAATGACCATTTCTCGCTAAAATTGGGACCACACAAGAGATTTCAGTTATGTTTGTGTCTCCACACTCAATTTGTCAAAAATCCTTGGCACACCCCATCTTGTTGTTCTTTCAGGGCCTATTCTGCATTTTAATCACTCCAACCGAAAGACAGTACAGGGTGTGAGGTTGGTATGTAGGAACCGACACATGTCGCGTCTGGTAATAGCGAAACGAGTTGGCGAGAGGACGAGCTCTGGCTCATTCAAACTGAAGAAGTCCTCCCTTCACTCGAAATAGATCGGTAGAGGCAAGAACGGAGGCAGCCATGGCCAACATTAATATTCCTGTTCCCCGAGTAATGGTAAGCATTCCAACCACCTTTCCGTTTTATCCTAATCACACTCGTCCAGAGGCATGGCTCGAAGTTGTAGAGAGGCTCAGGGCTATGATGCAACTGATCTCCCTCAGGTGATCACACATTGGTTTAAGCGTCATAGGTGGGTAGATTGGGCAACGTTTAAAACCACCTTCTTGACAAGATTCGATGAGGTAAGCGAGGACGCTGCATGGTTTGTATTGAAAAAGCGCCCTCAAGAGCTAGGGGAATGATTGTCGGATTTTGTAGATAGATTTAAGACAACTTTGGATAAGTCTGAAAGGGAAGCGAGTGTTGCTCAAAACTGGTTCATAGATCATCTCTGAAACCCGGTCTTGAAGGCAAAGTCGAAAAATAAGGTTTTGCCCAAAACAACCCAGCTGCCTAAGATTATCGCAAAGGCACTTGAGCTGGATTCCCTGGATACACCAAAATACATAGATCGGAGTGAAGAGGACAGCTGATACGATAGAAGATGTAGCTGCCAAAACGCGATTCTAGCTACGATCGATTGGTCGGTTCTACCACCGTCACTATCCTGAAAACCCAAGTGGACCACCACAGGGTCATGCACCTCAAATTCCCTCCTCTGTTGCTTCTCCTCCTTCCTCCTCTCAATCTTCCAAGCCCGCTCACGTAATTGTTGCCATGCCTCCGTCGTCCGCGCAAGCGCACGTTCCGATCACCAATCTTCATCTGACTCAGATGATTCACACAGCCACTTCCCGGCAATCGGAGTGGATGAATCACCTGATACAGACGCAGACTTCTCAGATGGATCAACTGGAACAGGTCTTGCGGGAACTTACGAGTACAAACCAGACTTCTCAGATGGATCAACTGGAACAGGTCTTGCGGGAACTTATGAGTACGAACAGAGGAATGAATTTGTCCAGAGCCCCGTGAGCTAATCCCTCCCCTTCTTACCCCATGTTTCCTGCACCGCCCTTACCTACGCAAGTTGCTCACCCTGCCCCACTTGTCCCCCATCTAGCTGCCGCTCCTCCGAAAAGAGTAGAGTGCTACAATGGTAAGCAGCCCAAACACTTTGCCAAAGATTGCCCCCTTCCAAAGCGAAACCAACCGCCCCCTGCGGCTGCGCCTGTAGTCACTAATCAAGGACAAGTAGCTGCGCTGCTGGAAGGAATCGGAGAGTTGGGACATTGTTCCCCTTTCCCGGCCCCTCTTGCGCCCACGAATCAGACCGCGTCGACATCTGGTACTTTGTACGAAGCAGCAGACGTCGTCAACCCGTCTAAGTACCTTCAGTTGGCAGGCCTGATTGGAGCTATCCCACCCGCGAAAGATGAGCTTGAATGGGTAGAGCGCGAATCAGAAACTGGCCCTTAGTTTCAGACAGGCGAAATCGATGCCCTGCAAACGTTAAAAAGGTCACATATTTGAGTCCCCGTTCCGGTCGTCCATCGCCTGACGATCTTTGAAGCTCCAAACGACAAGCTCCTGCGGCAATGCCAGAAGAACCAGAAACAGTTCACGTATCAGCGCGTCTAAGGGATGTTGAAGAAGAAAGAAGAAACGACGGAATCATCACCCTCTTCTCCTCATCCAACAAATGTCGATGATCCTCCGGAAAAGCAGGAGGTGCCCAAAGCCACCCGTGTGGCAACGATTTCCTACGTCGAGAAAGACCATTTCATCTGTATTCAACTTTTGTAGAAGATTGTCGAGTGTGACTCTGAGGTCTGGGGAAGGTCGTTCAATGCTCTGATTGATACAAGTTCATCTGTTGTCACACTCTCACTCGATATTGTGCAAAAGGTCGGACAACTAAACTCCATCCTTCCCCTCTTTGGAAAGGACAACTATGTCTTGGCCGATGAGGCAACCATGAACATCGTGAGGTTGGTATCGGGAACGTCACAACCCAATGGTTGGCTGGTAGATCACTCCTCCCTGGAGCAAAGGGTCTGCATCTCCTATGGCGTAAAGCCTGCCAGGAAACCTTCCCCCACCGTGAGTCGGGAAACCATTGAGCATCTATTCCTTCAATGTCCAGGTGTTGTATTGACCTGGCGCAACCGCATTTGGCGACAACTAGCTATTAAAAGGGCCTTTACCTGATATAGGCCTCAGGCCTTGTAAAAATAAAGCAGCACGGGCCTTGAAAAAGTAAAGCATTGTGAAAAGGTATCTCGCCAGGGCTCAGAAACGTGAAAGCAGGTCAAAGGTTAAGTTCTCTACCAACAGGCACATCTAAATCTAAGGCAAAGGGCATTGTCAAAGGACTTACCTGTTCACCAGGAGCTGTGTATGGCATGTCTGTTCGGATAAGAGTGTGTCTGTACGTGCAGGCAGTGTACCTGTTCGTGCAAAGGAAAGTGTCTGTTCAAGCAGTAAATGTGTCTGTTCGTTGAGAGTTGTGCCTGTCCGAAAGTAAAGTCAATAGGCACAGTCCCAGTTTTGGTCKAAGTCAARRGGTCAGTCCAGATCCAGACTTTCAAGTCCAAATACAGGYCGAGAGGCCTCAGCAGCAGTTGAACTTCATTGGGACTCTACTGGGACACATGCAATGCAGGGTCTGGGACTAAGGRAAGGCCGAATTGAGCCAATGCAGACCCARSGAGGAGTAGTCAGCAMTATAARGAAAGCTGCCTGCCTCATTCCTCGCCAGATCTCCACTGGCTRTCATTGCGTGGAAGTGCTGGTGCACTTGTGCGTTGAGTCAGGAGGAGCAGCGCTGGAGGATGAAGATGCGCTGAATGGAGGAAGAAGAYTGTACGYTGGACATGACGCAGCCATAGCTGCCCAGCGAGTTAGCATTAGTAGTAGAGGGTTAGTGTGTAGCTATGAGTAGTATTCAGAGTAGATCCTCATGAGTAGAGAATGTGTATACATCGTAAGAGGAAGGGACTGAGATATAGAGAGTGTTCATTCAAGGTTTGGCTATGGGAGACACTTACCTGAGTTGGTTGTGAACTGCAGAGGTGGCGCCGATGAGTTGTGACCATATTGATGACTGGGAGACAATCTGCAGGGGTAGCGCTGATGCCTTGGAAGTCATATTGATGAGTTGAACAGAGATTTGTGTTGCGCTGATGAGCGCTGGACTCAGGGGAACTTTGAAACACTTTGTAATCATATTTCTGATAATATAAGTTGTGAAACTCGGTCCTCTTCTTCTCAACCTTTGTCTATGGTTGAGACTATTGATCACTGCGTGTGAAGATGATGCATGACATGTACACATCTGCGTGAGATGGTCCCCAGGACCCATGCAAATTCCTGGAGCGTGCGGAGCGTCGTGGAGCGTCATCGGCGGTATCTTCAAGAAGAGAGAAGCACCTTCTTTTCCCTGAACCTGCATGCATGTGTGTGTCCCCTACCTTTTCTCCCTCTGACCCTCTGAAGGCGACTGCTGCTGATCTGGTCAGGAGTCGAAGTCTGGATCTGGGGTGTCATAGCTGTCAGGTCTGAGCCGTCAGAGTCTGATGACCCAAGGGYGATGTGTCAGGGACTGGTCTCACTAAAGTAGGTGGTCCAGCATTCTGCGAATAGGAGTAGGTCTCTCTCCTATCCCTCTTAATAGGCAGGCTGGGTGTCGTCATCAAGAACCAAGGATCGATGTGGGGAGTGGCAATGTGCCACATCAGATAGCATGTACCAGGTAGTATAAGGATGATATTGAGTATCTCCCGGGCCTGTTAAGCCCGAAAGAAAGAACAGGGTATACGAAGTATCTCTGCCTGGTTGGATAAGTGAACCATCTGAATCTGCGTTGTACTCCATATCTGCACCAAGCAACCAGCCAAGTTAGTACAAAAAAAAAAAGAGACAGTAAGACAACAGGAACACATTACCAAACGTTCGATCCAGGAGGCCAGACAGCACATCAAAAAAATAATTAAAAAAAAATAGACATATTCAAGTTCATTGTAGTTTGATCTATTGTTGGTTGTACGCAGCACCTTCTACCGTTAAACAAAAAAAAAAGGGGAAAGGGAAGGTATAAGTACTCCATTACCGCAAGTTAAGACCAAGTCTGTAAGTGGGATAGTACCTTGGTGACCCGGCGGAGGATCTCCTGTGTCGGCAGTCATCATGGATGACTATCCCATCCAGGGCCTGTTGGCCCTTTCTGTCTTGTTGGGGCCGCTGTTCCGGCTTATGTTCCCACTGGGGTTCGGGCGTGTGTGCACGTCCCGCATGCTGATGCGGTCTGGAACAGTGAAGCCTGGCCCTACACCTGCGGAGCAGGCAGAGATAAATCGTAAGTTGGCAGAGAAGAAAAAGGAGAGAGGCCAAGAAAAAACAGAAAGAAAAAGAAGCAAGAAAGAAATGAAAGAGAAAATGGACAGGGAATTAGAAGAAGAATTGAAAAGTATAGAAGAAGAAGAAGAAGAACAAGAAGAAGGAGAAGTGTTGGAAAGACGTCGTCGCCAAAACATATCGGAAAGCAGTACCACGACCCGCCTTCCCGTTGAACCGTTGAACTGGGGTAGCCAGTACTACTACTCCAGCGAGCCGTTAAAAGAATCTGATGAAGAACGGGATACGTTCATCGCCAAGTTGGCCACTATTAAAGACACCGTTGAACGAAACCTGATGTTGGAAGAGAAACGGGCTGAGCTAAATCGCAGGCTGTTGGCCGCTAGACGGCAAGAGGTGGAAGAAAAGAAAAGATTGCAGGCAGAAGGGGATAAATTGCAGAAAGCTCTAGAAGCGCAAAAGGCAAACCCCTCTGCAACTGAAGCACAACTTGCACTCCTCAAGGAGGCCGTCCTCAACACGAGGCAAGACATGGACTTAATGCGACAGACCTTGCAACGTGTAGAAACACATCRGGTTGAATTTGAGAATGTCTGGAATAACTTCGTAGAAAAGTCAGCAAAGGACGTTGACCAACATGTGCAAACTTACATYCAGGCTTTGGACGAACATATTAATAAAGTCTTCACCCCGAAGGTCGTAGAGAAGATTGTAAAGGGAGCTGGAGGCGACGGAGGAGATGGAGATGACGACGACAATGATGACAAGAAAGGGAAGAAGAAGATTGAGGATTCAAAGGGTCAACCTTCCCAGGAACCCGGGCAGACTAACAAGATTGAGCTTAAACTGCCATGGACCTACAATGGAAAGAAAGAAGAGAGTGTGTTGCATTGGGCGGCGACAATTGAAACTTATGTGCATGGACAACGAATTCCATACTGGGACAGGGTATTGATGGCAACCTCGTGCATGGGAGGCGACGCCATGAGCTTCGCCATCTCGCTGCAAAAAGGGGCGGGATGTAGCTCTATGGTAGAGTATTCACAACAGACCCGTATTGAGGATTTTCTTAAAGCGATAAGAGAGATTTGAGGACAAGAACCTGGCAAGGCGCACAGAAATGTTGATCCTCAGCCTCCCCGATAGAAAATGGAAGAGTACGTCTGCATTAAAGGCAACTATGGATGAACTATTGCAATGCCCTGATCATGGATTAACGCC